GCGGTGGGGGAAGGGCCTCCCCCTCTTGGTTCAATAGCAGAGGCAGGAATGGTATCCATGACACAATGCATTCTCCTTGGCCCCCTGCTAGCCATAAACTAATGGTTAAGTATTGTATAGTTTGTATATAAGAACAATGCCCAGTAAGCTAATATGCTTTCAACAGAAACTTGAACAACTAAAAACATTATAGATTTTTTGTCAACCAAAAGAAAAATATAGAATTATAAATAGATGACTAATATCATAGTAATGTAGAATTGTAGCAAAAGCTTTACCTGGAGCCTATTGCGTTCAATTCATATGAGATGTGAGCAACTGGATAGTTGCCTATATGGACCCTGGGTAAAACCATTTTGTGACTCACCAGCTTAGTGGGGCAACCTTTTGTGATCTTTGCCACTGCACGAGGCAGCTGGCTATCGTAGATTGTGAACTTAGTTCCCAAAAAATTCGATCTTATCAAATGTAGAGAAAAAGGTGTAAGTCTTTGCACTAAGAAACAATAAAACAATAATGGCAACAGTTCCTGATTAAGAGTGCACCTCAATTTCCCAACATAGGCATTATTTTCCCTAGACATATCTGCATCTAGGGAGATAATGTAATCGGTGCAGGTAGGGCGTCTGAACTTGCGTGCAGCCAGAAGGAACTTTCCATCATCAGCTAATGCTGCAATTGAACAAGACAATGGCCAAATGGGGCAAACAGTAACACACACATAGGCATAGCATTAGAAACATAATAAAACAAAGAATTGAGAAAAGAATAAAAAAAAAGGAACATTATATTGTCCTCCAAAACTAACTAAAATTTTTACACTAGGGAATCAAACATAGCCTCAACTATATACTAATTAGTAATTACTAACCACTAGATAAACTGAGAAACAGATAATATGTCTGGGAGGCGGAGCCACTGTTACGCCTAATGAAGCACTGAAGTAGATGCTCCCTTGGACCAGGCTGCCAAATTGCATTCACCAAATTAAAGGGTAGCTAATGGCAAAACTTAAAACCCAAATTTAAAAAATCCAACTCACAATCACAAGTCACAAAACAAATTTGTACCTGTTTGAGAGAGATGGGGAAGGTTATGTTGGAAGAGAGTTGAGGTGGGTTGACTATCTCCATGACGACGAGCCTCCACGCGCGGCACACTCCGGCACAAGCCACGACGGTCCTACGTGACGGCCACGTAGCCTCCGACGACTCAATTCTTCGGAGGACCTCTCTGAGAAGCTCGTGAGGCATGTTGGCCCACCAACTATGCTCCAACCCATCCTCCATGGAAACCAACAAAGACTCCAACTTCAATTATATATTTATTGTTTGACTTTGACACCAAAATAAAAATATCTTCTTAGTGGGCAACAAAACTCAATATTTTTGGTTTGTTTGAGAATGTGACAACTGACAACAGGGTTACTTACCAGTCCCAGTTATTGTTATTGTTAGTTAAAACTTACAAGAGAGCAACACAAACCATATAACTCATAATTGCCAAAGGAAATAACTTAAGATATCCCTACCACGTCTATTATACAATTTTGGTAAACTTCTTAGCAAAAGATTTAGACCATCATGATTGCAATCACAACTATATCTACTTAGGAGGGAGGAGTGTCTGTGGAGTTCGGATGAGTTGTGTCCTTCTTCCACTCGAAATTTCTGAATATGAATCATTTCACATATCTCTGATAAGATGAAATTAACTCAACTATATATGAATGATGACAGACATTAAATAAATATATAAGTACAGTTGAAATGATGTAATAGTCAATTTTCATATCATTCATACTTAAATCAACATACATTGGACATGTTACCATTTACCATTTTTTTTGGTTGTTTCGTTCCCTCGACCGAAGATTAGAACTGTTGTTTATCTTCAAACTCGCTCTCCAAATGATTGACTTGAGTATATATAATCAAAATGACAAATCAATGACCTCAGAACCTTCTTAATTTTTAGTGGACATTTAAGTTATGAACGGATAAAAAATGTTTTAAATTTTTTTATTATTATATAAAATTATGTAAATTTCAGTAAATAATCGGCCACAGAGATTTATTATTAATGTCAAGAGATGAGATTTTATGTAATAACAAGATTAGTTTAAAAAAAGTATTATATTTAGAAATGTTATTAAAACTTCTCCTTGTAATAATGAAAATGAACAACAAAGTTATCACGGGGTCCTTATCCAAATGGGTTGGTGGGCGTTGAATTATTGATCTTTTTAAGCTACCTACCATGATTTAGACTTTAATTAGAGGGTGGTAAGAAAAAATTTATCAGATACTTTCATATCAATAAGTGTTTATGATGTTAATTAATCTTTATGAAATTTTTTATTTTAATTATGTATCATAATATAATAGTTTCAAGTCGTAACCATTATCTTGTCTAAAAAAAAAATTCTCAACTATCCTAACAATTTCTCGCGATAGAAATATTATTTGTGGATATAAATTATCTTACCCTACCTTAGTGATGCCTTTTAGTAGAGTGTTTAGACCCAATTTTATCAAGAATAATAATACATATGACAATTTATATAATATTGTTTTTGTATTTAATTTTTCATCGTTAATAAATAATGAAATAAAAAAAAAATACTAATTATACAGTTGGTTATTTAAGTTTCATTATTATTTTATCAACTTGCAATCTCAATTCTCAATCAACGCCGTCCCTTTGTATACCGCCATCTATGATATTAATTTGATGAAATTTTACTGCACACACCAAAAGAAGTAAAGTAACTCTTTCACATTAATTAGAATTTATAAAGATGTAGATCAAGGTATCCCAAGCTCAGTTGAAATTGCTAACAACAGCACTAGGCTTGTATTGAAAAAAGAAAAAGAAGAAACTAATTAAACACTGTTATAAGGCAAGGTGGCTCTATCTAGGAGAAAAATGTTTTGACTCATACAATATGCTTTTAATATTAGGGATGCGTTAGTGCTCATGACTAGTTAGCTAATTTTTTCTATTTGAAATATTTGAGAAAATAATAATTAAACGTTTCTCTACTCTTTGCTAATTTTCCTTTATTAATACTTCGCTCTCTTGTGCTATGGTTTGTTATAGGACTTAACCCATCCAAGATAAATGATATTAATATCTATAATATATCACTTCAGATAAAAACATTATTTATTAAATTAAGAAGTTGTATTATATATATTTTTTGAAAGACAAACTGTTGTATTTTAAAATAATATATAAGATTAAATGAAATTGGGATTAGTCAATAAATTTTAATCTAAACTTATCTAAAATCTCTATGGATTGGGCTAGCTAGGTTGATGGGACATGAGAAATCATGAACATCCTAAATATTAAGGGAGATCTTTTAATAGTCATCTAAAACTCACATTTGACATGTTTTTTTTTACACGGCATTTGTAATGGTTAAAATCATCAATAAATGATGTTTATGGTGATTAATTAATATATGAAAATTAGTGACAATCTTATCTTAAATAATATCAACGCCATTTTAGGTGAAACCATGATACAATTTTTGAAAATAATAAAATTTACAAACTATATTACTTCTCTCCCTAATTTTAAGATCTTTTTAACTAAATTACATTTTAAAAAAAAAACTAATTTAGTCAAAAGCATTAAATTTGTATAAATAAAAAAAACTACTTTTTTTAAATTATCTTTAACATCTCTTAAATTAACCTCTCTCTTTTCACTTAATCATTTCTCACCTAATTAATTATTAATGTTTGGAAGAGAGATATTCATGTATCTATTTATCTTCTCCAATCTTAATAAAAGAGAGAGTTTTTATTCAATTAATTTCAAACATTTATTATTTTTTGTCTAAAATAATTTTTGATTAAATAAGGATTGTTTTATAAAAGATATAATCATATAAGTAATATAATTGACAACTAAAAGGAAGTCTTATAAAAATAAAATAAAAAGACAAATAAAAAAGTGAAAAGAGTTCTATATATAGGAACAAAGATAGTACCATTAATGTTATTAATATTGTTCTCTAATCAAAATTAAAAGTTTATCTCAATAATATATATAATAAATGATTTCATCAATTATAAACTCATATTAACAAAATATACTCTAATTTTAGTTAGAAAACGTCATCAACAATACAAATAATAATATTAGATCTTAAGTTTTGTGCTATTGGAAAACAGAACGTAGGTAATGACATTGTCAACTTTCGAAAATTAAGTTGCTCTACATTATGATATATTTGGATAATTTGTACAAAATTTTAAATTTTAACTTTGGAATTGTCGCTAGGAAAAAAAAAGTTGTTGTTTATATTCTTTACTTGGATTTTGCGGCCTAAGCCCAATACTTTTGCGTAATTTGAACTTAGGGCCTAAATTGTTCTTGTCTCATCATTATACACCAACTAAACCAATGGGCCAACTGGACCCATATATGTTTAATCTGAAGTTCATTTAAAATCTTTAAACATTAAAACGTTTAAACATGTTTTCAATTGACAGAATACCATTAGTTTTTCATATTTTGCTTATTCAGCGGTATTATTCAATTCATTAATCCCTCTTATTTTGTTTTAAACAAACTACAAATAGTGCTGTCAAAAAAACAAAAACTACAAATATTTTAAATCGATGTATGGATGGTCGATGCGGTGAATTTTATCCTAATAACACGAGCAAAAACATGTTGAGTTCCTTCATTAACAAGGAAACTTAATGACGTTGAACCCGGAATATGGTCAAAAGGTACTAACTTTTAACATCTTTGTTTTTCGATACGAGAATTTTACCCCCACATGTTTCCTTAAACTTGCAATCCAAATTCTGAAAACTTTTCTATTTTTAAAAACAAGAAATATATTAAAATAAAAAAAAAAGATTTGTTTTGAAAATCATTTTAAAAGTTAATATACATTTTTTAGTTTTTTTTTTAAATATCTTTAAGTTACTTTGCTTTTCTATTGTCATTTTTTTCTCATACTTTCACATCACCATCCCTTACTTTTACTCTTTTAAATTAGTTTTTGTTAAGTAGAACTGCATGTGATGAAACAGTAAGCATTTTTTACAACAACAAGAAGCAATATTCACTATCAAAGTTTTGTATACATTGATTGTTAACAATGACTTGAACATAAACGATATTACTTTAAAAAGTAATAATAATAAGTTGCGTTTTTCATTAATTGAAACATATTTTTAAATTGATAATGAACTTATTTGAATATAAATTATAAACACCTTTGAAAGTTACCAAAATAAATAGTTTTTTTAGTAGAGAAGTTATTAAAAAAATTGTAAAGTTACATCTAAATAAACTCTATAAATATTCATTAAATTTTAAAATATTAGCAGAAAATAATTAATACAAAACTTTGGAAGTGAGTTTATATTAAAAGTGAAAAGTAAAAATAAAAATAAAATAAAATAATAATAATAGAAGAAGCAACATTTAGAACATGATTTAAAGAGGTGGATGTCATAGATTGAGCAACAAATGAGGCCTACCTTTGAACTAATGTAATTATCTTGACTTAATCACCCTTCCTAACCAAAGCCAAAGAAGATTCGTTGTGTTCATAAATCATATGTCCCAACACCATAATTAGCTCAATTCCGTTAATGACAAAATAAAACATTTGGTGGAGGAATGAGGATGTCCCCATCTCCCTCCCATGGTGGGTCCTGCTCACTCAGATAGTGCATCTTTGGGCCTCCAAAAGTTTTGAAAAAGTATAAAAGGGTAATTTAAAAAAAAGTTAATCATCTATACATTGTTAGTGTAATGTAAAGTTATTTTACACTAACAACCAATCATATATTTTAATAGTATCATATCAATTACTTATTTAATAAAATAATAATAAAATAAAATAATTTAAAAAATATAATTGATTGTCAATATAAAATTTTTTATACCGGTAATGTATGAATCATTACTATTTAAAAAATATCATAAATATAAATGTGATCTTTTTCTTTCTTTTTTGAGCTGTAGTGTTTTTCTTTTATCCTACCTTAGTTCCCTGCAAATAATAATAAAATATAAACCTTATATTTTAGCATTTAGGCTTTAATATTTTTTAATCAAGGTACCTCTTAACTGAAAATTAACAATTAATCTCTTGAAATACCAAATTTTATTTAAAACATTACTTTTTAACAAATATTCTTTACACATAAATATAAAGATTGAACTCTTAACTACATATTTAAAAAATAAAATTCCTTATAAATTATATCACTTGGTGATATGATTTAGTGGTAAAAGAGTTTGAGAAATAAATATAGGTGTTAGATTAAACTTTATTGTAATTTTTACTAATAAAAATATTTTGGTAATATCTAAACCAAATATTTATGTACTGGCTTGTGATGGTGGTGGACGATTGCCCTACAATCGATTAAACCAAAGAAGTATATTGTTGTTTCTAAGCACGACAGCAATCATGGGATTGTTTCCATGATAAAGTTGCCTCTGAGACTGTGGTTGTGGAAATTATAATGGAATTTGTACAAACCCCATTAAAATAGAATCCATAGTACTCTTAAATCTTAATGCTAAAAGAGTAAGTCAGGACCCACTACTTATTGACATTATTTTTCTTCATCAAAAGTATTTTCATTCAATTATTATTGTAGATTAATTTCTTTAAATTATAAAAATTATTGAAATTAATTTTTCTCTCTTTCAATATTTTCTTTTACATACATAATAACAAAGAATTTAAGTCTTCACAAACATATTTAAATGATTCAGGTATTTATCAATTTTGTACCAGACTTTATTAATAGTCAATTGATTTTTACTTTAATAACCCAATGAAAGGGAGCAGCAGAATCTATGGTCCCATGTACTCGTAACGAATCATATCCTACAATCTTATATTACAGATACTAGAATAATATTGTTTGTACTAAAATGTCATATATTTTAGCTGATTTTAAGGATAGAGAATTTCTTTTGAGAATGATATTCTGTGGAAGGAAATGGACAAATTGGTGTGGTTTTTTATTTTATAAAAAAAATCTCTATTTTACACAAAATCTTTTACTTAAAAATTCACAAAAAAAAACTTTCTACAAAAAAAAACGCGTAAAACTGTTCTTATTTTATAACTCACATCCAAAATATTTTCTACTTCTCAAACATTAAATACCCTTCTATTTAATATATAAATTACAATAGAAATGACATGAAACTTCTATCTTTAAATTAATTCTTATATACCTAAAATATGATAATTAATATTAAAACAAGTGGGATCCACAGTCTTTTTCATAGTTTTATTTTATACTAAAGTACATATATATTACTCATCATTTTGTATATATAATTGTTTATCAAAACTGTACATGACATTATTAACAAGATAAACTTAAAGGAAAGTTCTAAGGTGAATCATCCGAACATAAAATGGAAAACATCAGATTTTGTAAAGAAAGAAAATATCATGTTGTAATCAGGTCATAAGATACATCAACGAATAATAGTGTTATAAAAAAAAATGTCATAACCCATAACAATGTGATGTTCTCATGGTCATGTTTACTGTTCATTATGGTGCATCTTTATATATATATATATAAGGATAAAAAATATTTAAAATAAAAAATTTAAAAATAAAAAATAAAATTATTGATTAAATGATTATTCACACTAAACACATGAAATATACAAATATTTTTTTGTAACATTTCATTGTCACATCATTATCATTATCACATGTAAAAGTAATGAAGTAAGAGTAAGTGACGGCAAGAACAATAATATAAATAAGACAATAATAATAAAAACATTGATTATACGACTATATCATTAATAAAGCGTTTATAATAGGATTTCAATCTTATTAATTTATTATTTTTAAATTTAATCTAAATCTTATATAAGGTTAGTCTTGCATTTTATAACTCCAGAGTGAAATATAAAATAAGATTTTTTATATGTGAATATTTTAATATAGAAACATATATTTCATAAAAAAATAAAAATAAACACAAAATATCATTAAAAAAAATATACATTTTATTGTATTAAACAAATAATATACTTTTAGTAAAAAATAAATTTAAAAAAATGTATGACATTTTCATTCATTTTACTTGTTATATGCATTTTTGTACTTTATTAATACACTAACTTTTAGTCCTGACATGTGCATTGACCAAGATTAATATTTTCATATAATTGTAAATATAATTCATAATAAAAAAATAATTTTAAATATATAATTTATGATAATATTTTACATTATGATATGGGACTATTTTTTAATTAAAATAAATTAGCATCTTTTAGAGAAATTTTAATTTATAATATAATAAGAGATTCTTTATAGAATTTGAGTTTTAGTTGATGTTTCTTATTTATTAGAAACAAATAAATCTGCATACTATGATAGTTTTATAATCCATTACATGTTATAATAAGTTAAAAATTTATTTAATATAAATTTATAAATATAATACATCAGAAAAAGTATCAATCAATGGAATAATACTCCATCATCATATGTTATAGTTTAATTTATATAAAAACAATATATAATGATAATAATTATTTTATTTTATGTATAAAAATAACAAATTAATATACAAAAAATACTAAATAGTTATATATATTTTTAAATTTTTTAAGCTCTTCTTAATTATGGGCAATGGACGGTGGTCGTTCTTATCTCTCCCCCAGGGTGGGCCTGTTCTCGTGGAAAGTCACTCTCTGTATATGTATCTATATATTTTACTAAATAATTAGTCAACTAGACAAAATCTTATTGAAAGTAAATATGTTTCTATGTGTGCTCATAGTGAGGGGCAATTGAATCCTAGGAGCCTATCCTGTTGGTTAAGTACGAAGAAATATTTCAAATAAAAATCAATTCAAATTCGGATGAGTTTAAATTTTGCTCTTAATATAAAGATTTTGTTAATAGATAATTTATAAGTAATTTTGTTCATACTCTTTGGATTTTGAAACTTGTCTTTGATCTCGAGAGTCTCCGAGATTCAATTCTTTTATATATATATATATATATATCACCATCATTGTCGAGCCATTCTTATAGGTGCAATAAGCTTCACATGTCTGAAAGTTAGGACGTCAACTTCAATCACATAACATTCAACAAAAAGTCAAAATGGTAACCCATGTGTACACTTTTTAGTTGCTAATATTATTTCCAATTGTCTCGCAAATTAGTTGTAAAAAGTAAAGACCTTGCAAATAAGTACCTTCTTTTTTATACTATACACAGAAATAAAAGCAAAGAAAAATGAAACAAAAATTAAGAAATTGTGGGCAAATCTTCTTATATGATGGTACTAGAACATCATTAGAAGGAGTAATCCAGGTTTAATTCCGATTCAAAGAATGTAAATTCCAGTCACCAGAAATATGTGTCACGACATTCGTTTTTATGGAGAATGAATGTATAGTTTCAATCTCTTATTAAGATATCCTTGAATTCAAACAGATCTTTATAAATATATATAATTTTTTCCTCAATAAGTCAAAAGTTTAAAATGTTAACTAATGTCAAATTGTCCAATTCACAAATTAACTTATAAAAGTTATGATGCAGTGTAGTAAGAAATCCATACATTATAGCATCACACAATATCTCTGATAGGGTTATTATTTTTTTATAAGATTATTACATAAATATACTTCACAATGATGAAATATTGTCCGCTTTAGGCCTTAGTCCTCACGGTTTTACTTTTGGTCATCACCCAAAAGGCCTCTCGATCATTGAAACATGTTTATGTTATATAAGTTGTTATTTATTGTTTTATTTTATGATGTAGGACTTGTTTGTATCTCAACAATCTCATAAATATCCATGTTATCACAGTGAAAAAGATAAATCACATTCACATTAATCTTAATGAATGAGAATTGTGATGCACATCAAAGAATTAGTAAAGGAGATAACGAAATTTCATCAAAGAATTAAAATCTAAAAATGACTCACAAATCCTCTTATAAACATAAGAAATGTCTCACTTCTTATTACTAAAATCGTAATTATTTCATTAAAGTTAGACCTTTGCAAATAAGTATTTTGAAGTGTACATAAATACATTTTTATTAAAAATTATAATGAGAATATGTTATTAAAATTATTTTCATAAAAACATTCTTTAACCAATATTTAATACTCTTTGTATACTCGAATATAAAGAAATTATAAAGAATATGTGATGGACAAGATTTTAGTATATATCACAATAACAACATAATCATAAAGAAACATGTCACTATATTTTCTAATAGAGTCTCTCTAATGTATATATTTTTATTGACTTTTAAAAAAAATTATAAAAAGAATGTGATGAAGTTGGATCTCTCGTCTATGGGTAGCATAAGTATATGATTAGATGAGATGCATGTATGATGTATGTAGTAAAAGAAGTAATAGATTTGAAGAAGGAGAAGAAGGAAAATGAAAAAAGTGAAGTCCGACAGAATGATGAGAGGAGGCAGGGTGAAGTGCGAAGTAATGTCTCCCTCTTCTCTTCCACTGGCATGCCAAAAAGCAAGTGTTCCCTACGTTGCATACCTCTATCATCATTCATCACACACACACACACACAATAATCCTACTATATATCATATACAAGAAGAATCCGTATGTATATCTTACCCTTTCTCTTTCAAGTTCCACTAACACTGCTCTTCTTCTCACACCAATAAAGTTGGAATGTGACAGAGCACGTGCAGTTGGAAGCATCCTACTATGGCCGTTGGAGTATTGTACGACAAACTAACCACAGTCATGACCTCGGATCATGCTTCCGTCGTCTCATTGAACCTCTTTGTTGCTCTTCTATGCGCCTGCATCATCCTCGGTCACTTGTTGGAAGAGAACCGATGGATCAATGAATCCATCACTGCCCTTCTCATTGTAACCAACTACCCTCATTCTTTCTTCATCTAATACCTATCAACATCAATCAATTTATGCCATTTTTCTTTCCCAGGGTCTCTTCACTGGGGTCTTTATATTGCTTACTACTGGAGGAAAAAGCTCTCATATACTACTCTTCAGTGAAGATCTTTTCTTTATTTACCTTCTTCCACCCATCATTTTCAATGCTGGGTTAGTTACTTACTTCACTACTCTTACTTCCTTTTTTTTACTTTCCTTATTCATCTTCTCTCACTTCAGTTTCAATTGCTCATTTTTTTCTTTACCCTTTCCAGGTTTCAGGTGAAGAAGAAACAATTTTTCCGCAATTTTATAACTATAATGCTCTTTGGTGCAGTTGGTACTTTGATATCATTCTGCATCATATCACTAGGTAATTTAACTACCTTCAATTTCTAGCGCGAGGATAAGTCGTCAATTAGGTTCTTATTCGGTAATAATATTTTGAATAGGTGCCATACACTTTTTCCAGAAACTGGACATTGGTTCCCTCAAGATTGGAGATTATCTAGGTGAGCTTAAATTACCTCCTTTTACAGTAATTTGTTGGACTTAACTGCAAACTTTAAGCATTTCCTTCTTCCCTCCTATCTCTACTTACCTAAGTCAACTGAATGCAGCAATTGGAGCAATATTTTCAGCAACGGATTCTGTTTGCACTTTGCAGGTATAAATGTCAAAAGAAACACTTAAAACCTTTTTTACCCTCCTTTTACTGAAAATGATCATATTTATGTGGATGCTTCAGGTTCTTAATCAGGATGAGACTCCTTTACTGTATAGCCTGGTCTTTGGGGAGGGGGTAGTAAATGATGCTACCTCCGTAGTTCTCTTCAAAGCAATTCAGAATTTTGACCTCTCTCACATTGACTTAAACACTGCCTTACAGTTAATAGGAAATTTTTTATATTTATTCATTGCAAGCACTGTGCTGGGAGTCTTTGTAAGTTTTCCTTCCACTTTCTAGTTCTGTCCCCTCTTCTTTCCTGATGTTCTTGTTTTCTTTGAATTATTAATATTTTTTTTATTTAATTAACGTTTTTCAGGCTGGATTGCTTAGTGCATACATTATTAAGAAGCTATATTTTGGCAAGTTGATAAGGTGAAATCTAAATTCCACCAATTTTCAATATGCTTAACCACTGTCCACTGCAATGAAATATCTCAGAACATTGTTAGCGATTATTTCCTAATTCTTTCTCTGATAAATGCCAGGCATTCTACAGACCGTGAGGTTGCTCTCATGGTACTCATGGCATACCTTTCATATATGCTATCTGAAGTAAGAATTTTCTATGCAACTTAGTCAATGTTTTAGTGTAACTAATTCCAATACTAATCATTTTTATTTCTTTGGCAGCTCTTTTCTTTAAGTGCCATTCTGACTGTTTTCTTCTGCGGCATTGTTATGTCTCACTACACGTGGCATAATGTAACGGAAAGTTCACGAGTGACAACCAAGTATGTGAAACTCTGCAACACATTAGACATTTACAGATGAGAAAAACTCGTGTTTATGCATTGCAGTTTACAAGATTGCTGCTAATGATATTATTACTTCACTGATTTTAATTTCCCTGCTGCAGGCATGTTTTTGCCACTATGTCATTCATTGCTGAAATCTTCATCTTCCTCTATGTGGGGATGGATGCATTAGACATAGAGAAGTGGCGATTTGTAAGTCAAAGGTAAAAGGGTTTCTGCATGAAATTAAACTGCCTTGAAACTACTTTGCCAAGTGTGAAATTAACATTTTGATCTCTTTATTAGTCCAAGAAAATCTATTGGGGTCAGTTCGTTGCTGTTGGCACTTATCCTGGTAGGAAGAGCTGCATTTGTTTTCCCCTTGTCCTTCTTATCCAACTTGCTTAAGAAGTCTCAATCTGAGAAAATTGAGTTAAAGCAACAAGTATGTGTTCTCCTTCACCTAGGGTTGGAAAAGACTTTTGTTGTTGTTGTTGTTAACGTTCCTTTCCTGCAATGATTTTATTTCCCAGGTAACAATTTGGTGGGCTGGTCTCATGCGTGGAGCTGTTTCTATCGCACTTGCTTACAATCAGGTGATGGAATCAAACTTCTTCACTTTCAATTCTACATCTCTATTCCAAGTCCTTTCGTAACAAAGTACTTTTTCACATGCAGTTCACCAGGCTGGGCCATACTAAATTGCGAGAGAATGCCATCATGATCACCAGTACCATTACTGTTGTACTCTTCAGCACATTGGTTAGACACTAATCTTCTCTTGATCAGCATGGTTTGTAGTAATTATGTCATGCCCAGATGTCCAATTTTATACCTATAAAAGTCGCTTCATTTTTTCTATTCTCTATATTTTTGTTTTCTATCTCAGGCTTTGATAAATATGTTTTTACAACAACACTGTTGCTTCATGACAACAAAATATTAGATGGTCCAAAACTACAACGTATTTATAGTCTCGGTCATATAACATATACTTAAGTTTTATAAATTCTCTTTATTGTATCATATATTAATTCTCTTTATTAACTCTCGGTCAATCACGTATTTTATTTGTAGTCTCAGTTAATCTTAATGTGACATGTAATTGAGTTTTATTAATTCTTCCTTATGTATTACTTGGGTATTGGCCGAGATCATAAAAACTCAGGACCACACAATTATTTCTTCTTGAGGGCAGTGTTGCTATGATCTCGAACCCAAATAAACAACTAGTGATATGATGTTTTCTCAGTGTGACACGAGTCCCCACTAGTTGAATATGAAAAAACAGTGGATTTGGAAAAGTGTCAGTTTGTTATTATGAAAAGGAAATGTTGTTTGATAGGTGTGATTCCCCCATGATAACATGGAATGTGAAAAAGCCACCACTTATGCTTTTGAAATGTGCAGGTGTTTGGGTTGATGACAAAGCCACTTGTGAGGCTCTTGCTTCCTTCCTCTAAACACGTAGTCAGCTTGCCGACCCCACCATCGACACCAAAATCATTCACTGTGCCACTTCTTGGCAGTGGAGAGGATTCATGGGCCAATGGTGGCACCCATAATGGGCCCCCACCAAGCACCTTGATGATGCTCCTAAGCTGCATTCCAACTCGTGGGGTACACCACTATTGGCGCAAATTTGATGATTCTGTCATGCGACCCGTCTTTGGTGGACGAGGTTTTGTACCCTACGTTCCCGGGTCACCCCTTGAACAAAGTGTTCATCAGTGGCATTGCACTTAGAAGATAGATAGATACTACTGATTATGATTATGCATGTGATGGATGGTGTGGTTGTTTGTGGTGTATGTAAAATCGGCTTGGCTTTGGTTGTGTGCACTTTTGTCAATAGTTACAACATGTCAACTTCACAAATGATACTTAAAGAGAAGAAAAAGAAACATGTTATAGGGGAAGAATTTATGTACACATATTTGTCCCCCTGATTTTGCTGACATAGAGAGAGGGGGTTGCTTGCTTTTTAGTTAATACTTGTAACTTGATGCTACTAAGGTGATTCATATTTTGTGTGTATACATGGTATGAATGGAAAGGTATTGACACTTAATATAGTTTTTGTGTTGCTTGATTGTATTTATCGTTACATTTTTTTTCAGAGGATAATTTTGTGGGCTTTGGACTTGTAACACTTGTTTTGCGATCATATTCTAAATGATAGTACCATTTTTGCTTCTAAGGCACGGCATTATATGAATGATTAAGCATTTGATGTTTTTCCCTTGGCATGATTCTTCTCATAACAGTAGGCACATTGTTCCGATAGATCTAGCTATTAGTGCATAATCACTCGAGTACCAATTGTGGATAGTTTTAGCCGCAACAATCTTAAATTCCTCTGCAAAGATATATAAAATTACCATGTTTGAGAAAGAAAAAAATTATAGAGTAGTTTTCACCTTCATGGCTCACCATAACAAGAAAGTGCCAAGATGTCAAAATAAAGCACTACTGAACTCGTGATGTAACCCGCGAATTTCAGAGGGTATATTGTTGGACCAATAACAGAGCAACTTGTGTACATTTTTTTTTTTATGAGTTAATCATCCTTACACTGCCAGTGTAAAGTTTTTTTACATTGCCAACCAATCATATCTTTTAATAGTGACATGTCAATTGCTTATTTAATGAAATAAATAAAATAAGCAACATTAAAAGATATGATTGGTTGTCAGGGTAAAAAACTTTACACTGGCAGTGTAGGGATAATTAACTCTTTCTTTATTGTTTTGATTGATCTACATATTCATATATTCTTAAAATTTTGATAATTAAAGACTAATTTACATTTTTAGAACGTAATGTTTACTAATCAAATATTATTTTAACACAGACAATACAAACTTAGAAGTATAATATCAATCTCTCGTATCTTAAGATAAATTTTACAATAGAAGTGAATTAGAATTCAAGAATTTTAATTTTATGTTCTATTTAATAGTATAAAATGTGAAAAATTATTATATAATTGAGCTTGCCTCATGATTTCAATCAATTTTCTGTGATATATAATATAAAAAAATTATTGTATCTAGGATATTTTAGTTGAGAGTCAAAGACTAAATCCAATTAATGAATTAGATTCTTTAAATAAATATTTTTCATGCATATAAATTTGAGAATGAAAATCTAACCATTTACTCAAATCACATAACTATTTGTCATTTATATCATACCAATATGGTATAATAAAGAACTACTATTGATAAGAAAGAGATAATAAGACTTGTGTTATTATCTTTTTCTTTTCTTTTTCTTCTCTTTACAACAACTAAACTGGTTTGTATTAATGTTGGTGTAGAGGCTAATAAGTCTCTTTTCATACCCAGAAACATGAGTTTGATTCCCATGTAGTGCAAGTTTTCTTCATTTTCTTTTTAAAAACATTTTCATTGGTTGAATCAACTCAAGTTGTGATCCTCCGATCCATTGGATCAACAAAAAAAATTGGTTGGTTCATACCCCATTAAAAATGGGTCAAATACATAAATTATCCAATTTAAGACTCAAATCGATTGGATTTTTTATTCCCGGTTTGAGTCGATTTTTAAAACATTGCTTTAAACCATTTTTTACTATTTTCTTATATCTTATATTTCTCTCATTAATATTGTACTAGCATTCGAGTTGTATTAGACTCAGTCATCTTAAGTAAGGTTTTGGATTCAAATTATATGTATAAAAAATACGTGATTGAGAGGGAGACTCCTCTAAAGATAACCAATTAAGTTCTATGAAGAAAATTAGTTATCAACAAATTTGATAAATATTTCATATTAATAACATAATGGTAAAAATATATGTCACATTAATATCATGTGAACTACCATGTCATTAACTCATGTCATCATTAAAGTGTTGTATCAACATGTCAATTAACTATTAATAAATAAATGAACTAAAATTACATAAATAAAATAAATAAACTTTTTGTTAATTAAAATTATAATACCAACAACAAAATTTTAAATTAGAAATCAAAAACTGCAATTTGGTTTGATTTCAATCAATAGTTTTGAGTTTAAAAAGATTTCATTATTTGTTTTAATATTATTAAATGATAATTTATTATAATTAAATTTGTTAAATCTGATTAGGCCAATAGTTATGTATTCGATAATATAATATGCTAAATATAATTAGGTCAACTAAATTTGATGAATGACTTCTGTAAAACTCAAATATTCATCAACAACTCATGTTAATAATATATAATATTTTTAAATTTAACTACATATTTACGAAATAATTACTTTTAGTTAATTTGTCTGTGAAATATATTTAAATAATTAAATTAAAAATAAAGTATATAAATATAT